TGGTAGATTTGCAGTGGTCTGATACTCCTTCCATTTCAATATAATTGCTTGCACAGTGCTCCTTGAGATGTTTAAAGCTTGGGAAATCTTTTTGCATCCAAATCCGGCTTTAAACTTCTCCACAACAGTATCTCGGACCTGCCTGGTGTGTTCCTTTGTCTTCATGGTTCTCTCTGCGCTTTAAACAGAACCCTGAGACTATCAAAGAGCAGGTGCATTTACTGTATACGGAGACTTGTTTACACACAGGTGCATTCTATTTATCATCATCAGTCATTTAGGACAACATTGGATCATTCAAAGATCCTCACTGAACTTCTGGACTGAGTTTGCTGCACTGAAAGTAAAGGGGCCGAATAATATTGCACGCCCCACTTTTCAGTTTTTTATTTGTTAAAAAAAGTTTAAATTATCCAATAAATTTCGTTCCACTTCACGATTGTGTCCCAGTTGTTGTTGATTCTTGACCAAAAATAAAAATGTTATATCTTTATGTTTGAAGCCTGAAATGTGGCGAAATGTTGAAAGGTTCAAGGGGGCCGAATACTTTCGCAAGGCACTGTATGTATTCTAAGTATGGTCTCATGTAAAGATATGTGCATTTTTGTATTTGTATTATATGTCTGTTATGTCTTGTCTAAATGTATGTAGGCTTAGTTTATGTTGCTAAAACAAAAAGACACAAAAATAAATAGTATGATCAGTCAAACCAGTGTACACTTAGCCCCTGTATACCCTCACTCATGCAGAGAAATATTAATTTTAAAAATGCACTTCTTCAAACACAACATTTACATCAGGTTGACTGCACTGTCATTACCTTGAAAAACCATGAATGATGCATGCCCGGCACATATATAATCCATAGAGACTAAATAAATTGGCACTTGTCTTTGTCGTGTTATTTGATGTGGTCCTTGAAGACAGAATGGAGTTGGTGACCAGAGGATCCCATTATCAGTGAGGTGACAGGCTGTGATGCCTTCATTTGTGCCCTCTCCTCTGGGTCACGTCCGCCTAAAGAGATGAGATTTCATATACATAAGTGATGTTGAGAGGAAAGGCATGAATCTTAATGTGGACTTTAAAGGTTTTCTTGTAGCACATTGAAAGAAGAGGTCGAAATGCCGTATAGGGTGTGACATGTAGTCAAATCAACCTCAAGCTTATTCCTTATATTTTCATCAGCATGTATTAACTGTAATGGACAACGTAAGAGATTAAATGGTTAACAGTTATTTTATGCAAATGTATTTGACCAAACAAGTTTAGTATGAATGAGGATCTCATTGAGGTCTTGATGTTAGAAACGTTATAAAAGCACTTTATATTGGGAAGTATATTATCTGAGAAAACAGATGCTCCATGGCTTGCGATTTAACCTATTAACTATGAATTATGTCTTAAACTATCCTTATTTGTTCATTTTAATACTGAATGAGGTATCTGGATTTCTCATCAAATTATTCAATTAGCGGATGATTTCAGAAGTGTAATTTTATGCGTAGAGACTTCAATTACCAAAAACCAGAGGTTTTCGACCAAAATCAGCTGTTCCTTTCAGACTGAGCTGGCCTGTTAGAACGACTCTGCTTTGGACCCTCATTAGACCTTACACTTTTCTGTGTGAACTGATGCTGGAACTTAAACCACACAATCCCTATACTGTGTTATGGCCCATTGCTTACATGAGGGTCAGGCGTAGAGGATGATGAAACTACACACAAGTCCCACAGAGTACAATACAGTACTTTGGATAATGACAGCATGGAGCCGTGTAACGCTCTTACCATCAAAGTTCAGACTGTTGCATTATGATGCGATTCCCTCTGATCCAGGGTGCTCACCGTGGGACTTTAGAATAACTACGTTTAATTTGACAAGTTTCTGTCTGTAATGCCAACACTGACAACTCGCTGAGTGTTCACATTGCAAGTCCTGTGTCGACATGCCATTTTGTCCTGGGTTTAAAGACCAGGGGCCGTATTCCTAAAGATTCTTACTGCTAAAAGTTGCTCCTAGTGGCCAAATTCTAAGAATTTTCTTAGAATCTTGACCAACTCTTAGAATTTCCCCTAAAAGTGAGGAGTAGCTCCTAGTTAAGATAAAAGCTATTCCTAAAAAATCCTAGCTCTTAAGAGTGCTCTTAAGGGGAGATCCCTTAAGAGTTGAGAGGACGACTTTTAGCGACTTAAAAGTTCCCTAAGAGCACAAAATGGTGGACGGTGGAGACAGGAGAAATATTCTATACACTGGATGACAGTGAATCAGTGAAACGCTACAGATTCAAGCAGGAATCATGTTTGTGGTATATTTAAAAGTCAATCATGTGACCAGCTTCTCATTGGCTGGTCAGCAATAACACCTCATCCATTTTACCTTTGTTACACAAAAGTAAGTAGAAATGGTAAAAGTTGAAAGAGAGGAAAAAGTGGTCCTAAATTGTCACACATTCAGTACGAATGAATGAATACTTTATTTTGAGCCATGGCAAACAAGAAAAAAAAAGGACAAAACAACAACAGAATAGAAGTACAAATATACAGTTTTGTTTTATCAACAATCCAGCTCAAAAAGGAGTGGGAGAGGATAAGACTTTTAAGCTCCCTTGTACTTGATTTGTACAGTGTATGTATAATATGTTTATATTAATAATGTTTCCTTAATTCCTTATAAGTCTATACATATCACAGCCTTTACTAATCCTAACGTTATCATTGTAATCATTTATCCATATAATATTTATTATAATAATTTTTTTTTATCATGTATATTATATATAGAGTAATATTTAAATTATATATATATATATATATATATATATATATATATATATAAAATTATAAGTGCTCATGATATATACGTATTATGTGTGATAAATTGGTGCTGAGCAAGCTCTGATGATGGTGTATAAGTCTAACTTTACTATTCACAGTATTTATGTACCATTGATATATCTGACTTTATAGCTTTTGGTTATTATTTACAATAACACAGTGTTCCTAAGATTAGATTCCATGATTGAGTTTGTCCATTTTAGGGCCCTTATTTTGCCTATTATCATCAAAAATATGTTTGTTCTAACTTTTAGGATCAACCAATCACAGCGTCTGAAATGATGACTCATACCTAGCAACGGGGTCGGCCACGCCTCCTCACTAAGATAAAAGTTGTTGTCAATTCCTTGCTCAGAGTTCTCTAAGAGTGTTCTGGAATAACTTTTAAGCTAAGACTCCTAGCTAGGAGTTTTTAGGTTAAGATAAGAGCTCTCTGAGAGGACTCTCAGAATCTTTAGGAATACGGCCCCAGGTCCGCAGTATGAAAACGCCTTATGAATCAGTAAAAACATCGTTTATCTTTGACACTTTGGAAACCCAAGATGTCTTCTGAAAAGTAAAACGTAAAATCCATTATCACATGAACCAATGAATCACTGGACAGACTTTTACAACAGGCATTATGAAAGAGGCCTCAGGCCCGTGCACTGCGTGAAAGATGGTGGTCATTTGACTAGACGCAGGGCTGTGAGGACCCCCTCCTATAGACTCTCGCGCCGGTCTGAGGCCTGGCTTGTATTAATGAACAGGCAGTGCTGAAAGGGACAGGCTGCTGTAATGCTGATGAATGGTCATTATGGCACGGATACGAGAGGGGAGATATGTGGAGAGGTGTGGTGGGGGGTGGTGGGGGGTCAAAGGGGGCTCATAGGGAGCTTTAATTTGCACCTCAGATTTCTGTAAACTCATTCATCATGTCGCCACGATCATGGCTCCCCCTGGGTCTTCCTCTGTACTACCAGCTGCCCCTGCCTTCTCACTAAATGGCTTGTTTTTGTTAGTATTCTTCAAAGTTTAACTTCTTACATATTAGAAATACAAATCAAATTGAGTTTTACACCTTGTCAACCTATTATTTTTTTTATAACACGCTCTATTGAGTGCAATATATCAGGTCAGATAAAACATGCATAGGTCCTTATGAGGATGATACAATCATTTAGAATAAAGCTGGGCACTTCTTTTTAAACTGTTGTCAGGAGAATAGTATCTACAGTGAAGTCGGAACATAATGATTCCGGTGCTATGATTTTGCACATTGCCTCCCAAATCGCTATGTCCTTCTTACAATTTTTCCAGGTTCATATCTTTGCCTTTCAGTCATGTTTTTCCTGCATTTCTCCATGAATCTAGCCGACAGTTAATAGCATATTTTCATTGTGTTTGCGGAGTTAATACCCCAGGGTGGGTTCTGATGCTCATCCAACATACTTTCTGGGTCACACCTGCCAGTGAAGGCCGCCACTGTATCACAGCACAGTCTGCATGCTAATGTAGTCTTGCGAACCTGCTTTTGGCGAGCACATGCCAGCAGTCCTGTTGCTCTAATTGTTATTCAGCTGTCTATAATCTTGAATTTGTCACACACCTTATTTTCATAACTCAGTGCCAGTTCTGCGCAGCAACATCCAAAGTAATTACTAGGTTTGTCCTTAAACAGTGGCGCGTACAAACTACTGCTGTGAGAGCAAGAATGTGTTTTTTTCTTCCTCTTTAAGAAATTTGTTTATGGCTCAGAGAAGAGATGGACAATTGTGTATTCTCAGTGGATCCGTAAGCTCCAGTCTGGCCGGTAAAATCTTTTGATTAATCCAGGAAGTCGACCCAAATACATGGCCTGAGGGAGTTTGTTAATAAGAGTACAAATTCTCTGCAGCTTAACTCATATTAGCAGCTTTATGAAGTAATAAAAACTACAGACTAGACTGCGTAGAAAGGAGATAAATTGGAGACTACAGTGCATTATGTTTTATTGCAAATTACTGCGGGTATTTGTTTCATGATCTTCCTCAATTACCAAAAAACCGATGGCTTAATAAAATGGTTGATCCTTGACCTCCTCATCATGAGAAATTGTCCATCTATGACCAATGAACAATTCTGTTGGCTTTTGCAAAGTATTTCTTACCTTAGGCACTAATCAAATTCTTGTTGTTTCCCCAGTGGGAGGAAGTGAGCGGCTACGACGAGAACCTCAACACCATCCGGACGTACCAGGTCTGCAATGTCTTTGAGCCCAGCCAAAACAACTGGCTCTTGACTACTTTTATCGACAGACGTGGGGCACAGCGCATCTACGTGGAGATCCGCTTCACAGTACGGGACTGTAGCTCTATCCCAAACGTCCCAGGTTCTTGCAAAGAGACTTTTAATCTTTACTACTATGAGACTGACGCTGTAATAGCCACTAAAGGAACTGCATTTTGGATGGAGGCTCCTTATCTGAAAGTGGACACAATAGCAGCAGATGAGAGCTTCTCACAGGTGGACTTTGGCGGAAGACTTATGAAGGTCAATACAGAGGTGCGAAGCTTCGGACCTTTATCAAAAAACGGTTTCTACTTGGCTTTTCAGGACTATGGGGCGTGCATGTCGCTTCTGTCTGTTAGAGTTTTTTACAAGAAGTGCCCAAGTGTGGTCCAGAACTTTGCCATTTTTCCCGAGACAATGACTGGAGCGGAAAGCACCTCTCTGGTTATTGCTAGAGGGATGTGCATAGCCAATTCGGAAGAAGTGGATGTCCCTATTAAGCTGTACTGCAATGGAGACGGAGAGTGGATGGTTCCTATTGGCAGCTGCACTTGCAAAGCTGGGTTTGAGCCGGACAATGGGAACGTATGCCGAGGTGAGTGAGAAAATATTTAGCTTTTTGTTCTGTTGATGTTAATGTCACATTTACTTGTACTCAAACAGGGCTACTCAAGGATTATTGTGCAGTACATAATAAGTTATTGTGCCCAACACTCTAAATGAGGGGTGTCAAACTGGTCCCAGGAAGGGCCGGTGTGACTGCAGGTTTTAGTTCCAACCTGTGTAGGATCATACCAGGCTCCAACCCTTTCCTCAAATCTTCAGGTTAGAGTCTGCTGCGCTCCTGCTCAGGTTGGATATAAAGTTACAGAAGTTACTTATATAACTATGGTTCTATGAATCTTGAATGACCGCCAGAGCATCCTGTCACTCTTGTGGTCTCGCAAGAAGGTTCTGCAGGAAGAGCGTCGTATGATGGAGGATTAAATAGCCCTCCTATTGTTCATCCGGTAGTTAAAGGTGGGGTATTATTACTCGAACTTTGCTGAAGGGTTACGGTTATTGCTCAAGGGTCAGTGCACTGTCTTCTGGCTGTCAGTAGGGATGAAATAGAACTGGCTTGACACCCCTGCTCTAAACAAATAATAATAATAAGCGACACTGACAGACCCCAGGCTCATACTTGTGGGTTAGGTGTTTTGACAATTTGTGGTTGACAGTGGTTGTATTATATGTACCATTTATAGCTCAACAAAATCACTCTTCATATGAACAACATTGCAGACAATAACGACGTTCTTATATTTATATTACTTGGATGATCTAGTTTGAAAGCATTATCTCTGATCTATTTGTAGAACGTAGAATGGTTGCTTCATACGAAGAGTCCACATTTCAAGTTTTTGTCACCTTTCCTTATTCTGTCTTAAGGACTTGTATCAGTCTGAAGCACACCTGGCTTTCATTTACACTGTTTGATATTGACGGACGACTTATTTCAATGATATGATGTCCCTGTAGACAAAGCACAAATGTTGTTTTATTTTGGGCATTGCGTACAATACAAGACATCTGTGTACCTTGGATCACAGTTTTCTGCACCATTTCAGGGGCTGATCTGATTGTGTTTCTTGCGTTTTGCTGAGCGCGACAAGCTCCCCCATTTCCTTTGATCGCACCCACCTCCGTCTCGCTACAAAGGCGCATTAGCATTGATTCTTAATCTTTAGCGAGTGTCTGCCGTCTGTGGAGAATACTTTGCAGATGGCGAGAGGTTTGATGCTGCTCAGTATGGCGCATGGAAAGTTTTGAAGAAAAGGCACACCTTAATTCTAAATCAGATGGGACACAGTCTAAAATGTCAGGTACTATAAATAAATACAAACATGACAAACGGTGATATAATTAACTAGTATCTGATTTGGATATGGCCTGAATAATTTATTGCCTGCAGGTAGAGAAAGCATCTGAAAATGTCTTGGCTGAGAATGGTCTTAGATTTAGAATATACAACAATAGTAATATAAATAGTAGTTTTAATTCCCATGTATAATTTTCAAATCTCAAATCTTTTACATTTTCATAGTCAAAACGTCTTTATATTAGGATTAGCACAACTTCCTCTACATCAGAGGTCAGAAACCTTTTTAGCGTCTCAAAAAAACGTCTCATACCTAAACAAGTATTTATGTGGGAGCCATACACCATTTTTTAAAACAGTGAATTTGTGTTATTTTTTTAAAGACAAGAACATGTGTTTTTCTTTAGTAACATTTCTATGCTGAAGAAATCTAATATTCAATGTCTGAGAGCCATATACAATCATCAAAAGAGCCACATCTCCCCGAGCCATAGGTTTCTGACCCCTGCTCTATATGTACAGTATTTCTCCTGGTCGAATGAATGGATTGCACCAACTCAGCAAACCTCTACATCTAAATTTGGGTTTTTCATTGCATCTGTGCCACAATTGGGTGCTCTAAACCAGTGAATAAAAAATAAAAAACCCTGAAATGTTCTTTAGCCACCTTCTCTCACTCGATCCTGTCCTCTATCACACTTTTCCATCCCACTCGGTCACAAAGCCAAAGTGCGTTCAAGGTTGTGGCGATAACCTGGGGCTTTTTGCATGCTTCTGTATTGGCCGTGCCGCCTCCAGAGTTTTGGGGCTGAAATGTGTGGCGCCCCGATAAGATTGACGGACGCAGATCAATAAGCAGATAGAACAGTGGCACACATATCTGCGTCTACTGTAGATCCTTCTCAGGCGACGACCGAGCGGCAGAGCCCACCCACTGAAAGCTCAACTAATGGAATTACTTTAAAGGTGCAAGTTAATGTAGTCGACTTAATGTTTTAAGTGTTCATTCCATCTCATCCTAATGTTGATAATATTCACAGGTCATTTAATTCCACATTACCACCTCTGTATGGCTGTTTTCCTTGCATGGTATATTAAGCCGAGAACAGAAGAAGAACCTTTGTGAGTCATGCTGGCAGAGGCAGAAGTTTTTGTGTTTCAATATGACGCTCTAATGGTTTCAGGAAAAGCTTTTGCAAATACAACCTCCAAAGTATTGTTTGTGTGTTACCAACTGTTGCAATTTTTAAGTGTACCTTTATTTAGTGAGGATTACTCTAGGGCTGGGAGTCTCTCAGAGGTGTCGCTCCAGATCCTGGGACTTTTAATTCAATAGATTTGATACAATATTTTTTTTTAAACAAAACAATTTGTTTCAGTAAAACCTGGAAGTATTTTTGCAAAGGCGTATCTAAACATAGGACCACAATTGTATATTTACACACGACAAATCAATCCTTTTCTAATGCTATGCCAGATTTGGACAAAAATACAATGCTATTAATACATTTATATTTCATGTATTGAAGATGAATTGATAGTAAAATATACATCACAACAAAGCTATACAATAGTTTCAAAGCTAAAATAAGCCCTGAAGAAATTCAATACAAAACATAGTTAATATTATGGAATCAAAAACAATGATTGTATCTAAAAAATTATTTTTCTCACACCACGGCCGGATCCCACAGCCTTGAATGTTTGCGCTGCGTCTCATGTTCGCCCAATTGATTTTCACTATAGAGAACTTTCCAATGAGTTTAATTAAAAACTATTTGCAAATCAAGAAGCTTTTTCAAATTTGTATCAAAAAGCTGAGCATTTAATCTACAGTAAGAGCTTCTGAATAGAGAAATGACTAAACATGCATCCAGTCGGAGTAAGTCGCCAGTAACATCACAACTCAAAACCTTGTGGGGTGTCAACTTTAAAATAATACTGTTTTTGATTCATTTGGCATAATCTGTTATTATGGCCACCATGGCATGTTGTACCTCATTTTAAAGCTTATTTCCCCAAGAAATCAACCATGGAATTGAATCTATTCTAAAATTTAAGCCCAGCAAGTGATTTTATGTACAGTAGTTGAATTAATAAAAAGAAAACCCTGGCACAGATTTATGTTCAATCTAAACAAACAGGAACAGAACGACCCAAAAATAACGTTATTTCCTCAAAAAACATCCATAATGTAAAAAATAATAATAAATACAAACGTTTCAGGCTCCTGACCAGCTCGTAATAATAGTATGTTATGTATAATAAGTTTGATACAACTGGTTCAAAATAATACATTTACAGCATTCAGATGTAGTGATCAAGAGTTGTATCATTTCTGATTCCAATTCTGCCGATACGACTGTGAGTTTTAATCTCCAAACAATATAAGCACATGACAAAATGGATCTAAAAGCATAGTTTTTATTCTACCTTTGATTGCTACGATTGTTCCTATAACAACCTTCACTCACCATATTTAGCCTGGAGAGTTAGCATAGCCCGGCATCAGTCTATTAATTATAATGGCTTGTTAATCTTTATGGAGAGTTTTTCACAAGCGCTGACATAATTGTGTGGTTATATTGAAAAGTTAAGTTAATTGGATGTATAAGAGTGATTCCATTGCACCCTCAGCGGATAGAGACCGGTGCATTCGAGCCACTTCAGCCTGATTGCACTCCCATAATCAATATGTCGCTAATTCATCTTTGAGCGTGTGCTGCCAGGGCTGCTTTGGTTTGTATTGTGAAAGCATGTTGAGGCCGTCTGTACAGTGCGCAGTTCAGCAAGCGTGGCCATGTCATTAGCATCTCCCCTGTTCCCATGCCATCCATTTGGGTAACCCCTCTATCTCCCCTCGCTCTCCCCTATGGCTATGTAAGCAGCCAGCTAAATATTTTATTACCTTGCTGTTAAATGGAGCGTAGACGATTCCAAATAGCTATATCCGCCACCTCCAGTAGCAACAGAGCCATGCCCCGGATCGCACTCAGTCCTTCTCGGTTAATAAACAGTGATCTGGTGACTTTGCTTTTGTCGTTTTGAACACGACAATGTTCTCGCCTCCTGCTGAGTGATTTATGCAATCACCTTGGTTACTTCGCTTTTTCTTCCAGCTACGTTTTATTTAGCTATTATTACCATGGATCCTTTTAATGTGCCGTACAAGTCAATAAACTCCCCGCTAAGATAATTTTTCAGATCTTTAAAACTCCAAAGCGATCCGTGGCTAATTGTGCCGAAGTTGCCAGAACAACGTAATGAAATGAAATACTTTTTTTTATTGTCACAAGATAATAAAATGGAGCCTATACGCCTACGGTGTTTCAAAGACAACGATAGGAATCAGTTAATGTATTTGTAGTCTTTCGGATTAGCTCTCAAAGAGGTACAACCTGCACACTCCAGGGGCAAGGTGTAGCTGGAGGCGCTGATAAGCTTAAACTAACTATTTTAATTTACTTCTCACAAATTACCCTAAAATGGATCTATGTTGACAATAAACTATATTCCTGGTTTAGAGTGAAAGTGTCATAGTTTGGACAGAGTTATCAGAACTTCTGGCAGAGTCACACCAATCCAGGGAATTTCTTAATGGGGAAACAATGGGGACAAAAAGTTACGGTTGTGCTCAAAAGTTTACACCGCCAAGCAGAAATCTTGCTGAAATGCAGAAATGCTGAACATTTATGGACATTTATCAACACTGCCCCTTATGCACCAATACTAAT